CGCGTTCATTAGCATCCGGCCTCGAGGTTTCAGCTCTAACTGGTTGAAAGAAGGAGAGAAACAGGCGTCAGAATGTGGGACAAGTGCTGAGCTGAGTGACGCCACAGCGGGCCAGGTTTCCCGAGCAGAACCCCCAGCACGGTTTCCGTCCATTTCACTCGTGGTCTCACCAGCACAGCACGGCGTCCGGGAATGCGGCCGTCCTTTTACTAAGCCCCTCACCAGCTCGTTAACTGGAGCTGGAGCTCTAAACTCCCTTTAGGAAGAAACCAAATCCTAACACAGATTCCAGCTGAGCCCCTCGCCCTGCGCTGAAGAGCCGGGACAGGGCAGACTCAGATCTCAATGGCGACAGGAGAATCAAGGATGCTGGGACCAGCTCACTCGGAGGACGAGCGGGTCCCCTTTGGAAGGAAAGAGGAATTCTGCTTTGAGGGGACCGGCACACACTTGCCTCCAGGGAATGAAACAGGAGTGGCCTCTCTCTTTCCCAAGGAGGGACCCTTTCCTTTGGGAAGTGGCTGATAATCTGCGAAGGGAAATTACAGATTGTTCTTGGAAGGGATACAAAATATATTTCAGTGTCATCATGTAGCAGGGACCAAAGTGACCTTTTAGGAGATGGTGCAGGAAATCATGTGCTGTGACGTAAGGGGGAATATGGCAAATCTGAGACAGCCTGGCCGCCATCGATAATTCACTAAACCATGACACTATGGCCGAAAAGCAAGGGAAGTAAACAGAAGGTCACTGTTGATCATGACACCCATGGGTAACCAGAAACAGTAAGAAGCGTCTTTCTGAACTCAGGACTGAATGCGAATCATGGCTAAATAATTCACTGGTTGTGTGACCTTGTGCCCATCACCAGACCTGTAAAGATCGCTGAGCAACTGACATAAGAGACTTGCCAAGCAAGTCACAGCATTACTACTGGAATTTTATGCCGTGACAAGCTGGTGCTGCTTGGTTAACTACACACCTTCATGCAAGCTTAGAGTCATGAAAAGGGACGTGCTTTTGATATCAAGGGTATATACCATCGTCTCTGGTTTATGGAATAAGTAATAAATATGGAGGCAAAAATAAAACTACAAGACCAGGGACGAGGGACTCGTTCCCAAAGGGAGCAGCAAAAACTCAGTACCAGGGGACTGCAGCGTTATCAGTTTTCAGGAATTAGTGGTGATGGAGGAAATTAAACCAGTTAGCTGCTGGAAAAGTAACATCCCCAGAACAGTCATATTCCATCACGTTTTTGAGAGTGAGGACGAGAAAAACACGCCAACAGGGAAAACCCTGGGGAAGCAGAAGGAAAACCTCAGTGTGTGGAACCTGGACGGTGTCTGCGGAGCTGAGCGGCCACTTGGAGAACGCAATTTTTCTTTTTTAAGATACAGAAAGTAATTTTAAGAAAGCAGATTTCAATAGCAGCAAAGGAAACTATGAGCCCAAAGCAACCTGTTGCGCCTCAAACATTAGAAATAAAAGTGAACTAAGAAATAGCCTTGAAAACAACAAAGATGGAAAATGTAAGAAGGCTGCCGCTAATTCAGTGAGGATCTGGGGGCCACCAAGGGCTTATGTCTTAATAATCCCAGAATGCAAAAATCTGAAAAGTCTGGTAAGGATAAAAATCAGAAAAAGTCTAGGCAAGAAATCAAATGCAACTTTAAGAGATGAACATAGAAAAGCAACCTGTTTGTCAGTGATGCCTACAAAAGAATTCTTAAAATAATTGTCATTTCATTAACTGAGAAGGAAATTAAACAGCATGGTACTTTAAAAACTGGGATTTAGTGACGCTTCCCTTTTTAAAAAACTATAAGGTGGAAAACACATGGGAACGGCGGAAACACTGAGGAAGACTTTCTCTGGCTTCTCTCTTCTTTCTCTGAGCCTCGCCAAATGCTCCCGTGATTCTGATGCAGCTACAGGCTCACCCGCTCACCTTCCTGGTTTGTGTAAACCTTTAACACAAACTTGCAAACCTATGTGACCGTGACGTCATCCAGTGATTTGACCTCCTCCTACTCGCAGAAGCAGCTGCCCAGGGGGAGTTCTGCTCCCACGCTCCTTTGCCCGCGAACGAGGAACCGCCCAACAGGTTCGGCTCAACCAAGTTACCCAAACACATCTAAGCATGGGAACCTGAAAAAAAAATCTTTGTATATCTCTATCTTTAAAGATTAGCGACACAAGCAAAGATATAGATACAGATATAGATAAAGATATATTCCTGGAAAGTACTTTTTTGAGGTCAGAAATATGCAGCTAACACAAAAATCTACTTTTTAGGCTTGTATCATTCCCATTTTGAAATCTCTGATTTGAAAATTGTTCGGCTGGAGTTCTTAAAAAAGTCAGAGTTACAGGAAGCAATAAGCAGAAAGTTAAGATTCTCTGCCCTTGCATAAATGGTGCAGGCATCTGAAAACGTTTTCTGGGTTTTAGATCATGCAAAAGCAGTTTTTAATAGAATGTTTGCTTTAATTTTTGTACCCCAGAAATTTTCATTGAATTTTTTTTATGCTTTCATATTTTCCTTTTCCCTTTAATATTGCTAAACACTTGCCACCAACCTAGTTATAATTTAAGTTTTCAAAAACTTGGTGTGGTAACACGGACTGTGTATGCTGTACTAAATTTTTAGAGCAAAGCAAGCTAAGTGAATACATCCTGGCTTAAAAAAAAATTAGAGGGATTGAGAGACCGAACACTAAATGGAGTTTTGCTCTACATTCTCAGTCACATACCCATCATCTTACGTGAGTTCTCTTATGAAGAAATCTACATGGTATCCTGATAAATGGACGAAAGTTAGGTTCCCACACTAGGGGGGATTCGTGACATTGCCAAGCTTACTTTAACGGTTGTAAGTCAGTACCAGCTCTCCATGGTCTAAGAGACCGTCTTCCCTTATGTAAGAGTTGAAGAGATTTGAGTCTGTAGTGAATAATCACCGTCATTATCAAACATGAGTAAGCGGCGGGGAGTCAGTCTACTCCAGGCCCGTGCGTTGTCCCTTTGGGGTGACACCGAAATGCTGAACTGGGCTTCAGTCACCGTGACATGTATCACTTAACGGAACACACACTTCACACAGAGCCCCCGGCTTGGATTCTTACCCAGACTTCCGTCTTCCCGTTGTTCTTCCTGCATCTCTCGGCAAGAGAGTGGAGCTCCACGGTGGTTTCGGAGATCAGGTCCACGTTCTTGCCCTTCACGATGATCTGCATCACTCTGCCTTTGTTGATGTGGGCGTCAAACGTGCTGTCCCAGGGCGGGTACATGGTCGGCTTCTTCTGGATATACATCTGCCCATTCTCTGGGGACAGAAAGACATGTTCTCATTGCTCCTTCAGCCGGCTCTGGGGAACAGTTCACCTCAACAGTGGCCCCCATTCCCCCTGCTCTCTAGGACACATGTCTGTTGGGAAGAACAAAAATAATGCATAAAAGAGTCAGAGCCACCATAGGACAGGATGAGACAGCTCCGAGGTCTACATGCAAGGCAATGCACTGAAACTTAAACGTCAACCTGGATAATTTATGCAACAAGAATCTGACAGTGTCTTGGCAATGTTCTTTTCCTGTTCAACAGTTAGTCGCTTCTCTCTGAGTGTGAACCCCTGAGCAAATACAAAGAACCCAGGAGCTCAGCCTGGTGTGTCTGGTGGGGTTCAGGGACCTAGATCCCACACTTAACAGGTTTTACACTTCTATGCGTTTTGAGGTCCTCCCTTGTTAATCTGTAAAGGGTGGACCCATGGCTGATTAATTTCACCGACATCTAGTAAAAAAAATAACGGCTATGAAACCACTGTGTGTTGATCTGAAAGACATGGAGGCGTAATTTCAGGCTTATAACGAGTGCTCCTTTAAAAAGGGATTGAAAATCTTCCGTTTGACACACATCTACTAAGAGGCAGAACCTTGAAAACATCACAGCCATTATTTCCTTCTTTCTCATTCTCCAGTGAGGGTCCATTGTGTATAAAACATGCATTCCAAGCAAAAACCGAGGAGCAGCCCAGAGGGGTGGTGATCGTCATTCACAGGAAGCCAGCGTAGACCTGCAGGCCGGTGGGAGTCGCGGGGAGGGTCAAGGCCAGGAACCCAGGTCAGGATGACAGAGCTAAAAGAAAGCCTCGCCGGCACCACCAGGGGGTTGGGAAAGCATTTCCTGGTGGGACGAAGCAGGGCCGCCACGTCTTCCGTCCATCATGGACCCTCTGTACTATTTATTCTTTAATCATCTCAGACGCAGAAAACTGCGGCCGTGTTTCAGTGTTTGGTTTCTTGTGATCATAAGCACGTTAAGCGACAGAGTTAGCAATTCAGAGATGTTGATAAAGCAAAAGGGAGAAATCCGTGTGAAGCGGGGAAACAGAGCAGTTCTGACTCCTGATGGTCCTCTCTCCGCAGTGCACGATGCTGAAACAGAACAGGCAGCCAGCATCTGCTGAATTACTTTTTTTGCGGGGAGCATGAAAGGATTTGAATATGGTGAAACTAAATTTTAGGTAAACCTGGCTAAGAGAGGTACAAACTCGGACAATATGGAGGATGGAACAGGAAGGCGAAGATTCTCATGGCTTGTTTTAAAGAAATTTAACCGGGGATTGGACTTAAAAAACAACAATGGCAATATTAATGATTGTAGCAGCATCTTACGTCCTCAGACTTGAAGTCATCCCTGATCATTCCTTCCAATCATAACCACTCTCCCCACTCTGACCAAGCACAGAAATGCCCACATTTCTCACACTTTCATTCACTGGGTTTGTAATCATTTAAAAAGAAGACCAGAACTCAAGATGCTACAGTTTCCAGTGAGTCTGACCATTTTCAAAGGCTCCCAGACCCAGAGCTCTGTGTCCAGTTTGTCCCCGTTCTGTTGTCTTTTCATGTAAAACGCAGCCTTCCACCCTCAAGACTGGAACGTGCTGAAACTCGACGGGAGCGACACCTGAATTCTGACGTTCAGGGTGATTTCTTTCCAGAACAAAATGAAAACAAAATCAAAAACAAAAACCCTCCGAACTCCACAGGCTAACCTTTTGGAAAAAAATAAAGTCTTCTTTATTATTTTATCGTGTTCTCTTGATCCACATGGCTGATCAGACCAAGTTCAAAGGCAAGGCCAAAAGAAAAAGAAGAAATAATTTTTTAAAAAAGGCTCTCAGGAGGCAAATGTCAGTGAGACCTATGGCT